CGACTACGATGCTGTGCATCTTCCTGAAGTAACAAGAGGACTAACAGACAGTAGCTCTTACCCATATGCTTTGGGTAAGGGGGGGGACAGTATTTTTGTCAACCAGGGCAAAAGAAGAAAATCCATTAAATTTCATAACCTGGAATACAGGGGAGAGAAAAGTTTATCGAAGATGAAGCAATTTCTCTCTCTTTTTCCTAACACTGAGATAGCTCAAAAAAAAAAAAAAGAGAAAAAGAACAAGCTCTTGGGCTCAGCATCCTTTCATTAGCTCTGAAAGGACACGGAGTCTAAAAGCCTGCATCTTCCATCTATCAATTGGTCTAATAAAAGTGCAAACCTGTCCTCTCTCTAACAATTTTAGCAATGCTTTAGTGAAGTAATTTTGTTACTGTGCTTCAAGTAGTAAGAGCGTATTATAACCTTGAATGCTGCAGCTTCGCAATACATACCATTTATAACATTAGTTTTGCCTAAAGAACATTTTCAGAAAAAATTATTCCCTTCTCCAATCCACTGATAACAGGTGGTAGATCTAGAAATAATTTAAGCATTGCAACTTAAGGTAAACCTTTCATAATATACAACAGCCACCATTAAAAAACAAACAATTTGCCAAAGGTCCTTCCAAGATTGCCTATCTGACATATTAAGTAGGTAGGTATACACAGTATAGAAGAGAGAAAAAAGAAAAAGTATCTTTGTCTCCAGCTGGCACCTGTTTACAAATACTCTTAATTTACTCCTACGAATCCTAGAAGTACGAATCACTGTAAGGTAAATGTTGGTAAAACTAGCTTTTTAAGGGGGATTGTTTTATACCACTTCCTGGTCAGTCTTAGAAATATACATATATATTTAGAAATAAAAATAACACCTAGTATCTAGGCTCTAGGTAGATTCTCTTAGAAGAAACAATGAATTCCAAGAGAAAAAATGGTACGAGTATCAGCTCCTTTCCGGGAAAGCTCCCTCATAATACTAGTAACAATGAATCCAGGGATGTAAGAACTACACATCTGAGCCAGAACTGCAGGCAAGGATATTTTATTTGCCTGAAAGATATGTAGCAAGACATTCTCTTAGATTAAGTAGAAAGAATTTCCCAACACAGCCGAAAGGGGAATGGCTGGGTCACCTCATTCTGTGAGGAGACGGGACTCGATTGGTGAGAAGAAAAAACACACCACTGTTTGTTGCACCTAATATGTTAGAACTGTGACCTATCTTAAGCACAGAAGGTTGGTTATTCTACAGAAGCAGTCTTTCACCCTCACTCTTCTTCTACCAGGACATACATAAACTTCTCAGAAAAAACCCAGAGGTTCAACAGAAAATTCTACGTGGACCAGGACACTTGACCTTCTAAACCAGGGCTTCTCTGGAGAACCACTACGATGAGATCCTAAGTCTGAGTTAAAGATTAAGTGGCCTCCCCCTTGGAGCACGCTGGCTTTGGCTCAGGTTCTCTACAGGCTACTGATTATTGAGATTAAATCAGAAATGCTGAGACTGTGACAACTGGTCTGTTACTGAACAGCTTTGCTACACTCCTAAGATATGAAATTACTTAGAAGTCTGCCTCTTCCCCCTATATATTTAAAGTTTGCAAATGACAAGGCTCTTGGCAGTTGTCTTAATATCAGTACTATTACTCGACTAATTTCTTTGGCATTCCACTCGCAAAATAGGCCTAATGATATGTTCCACTAATGGAACAATTTCCCTATATCTATATTCCACTTACTCTAATGCACTGAGGTGTAACTCTAGCTTCATTTCATTATCACTTGACTAGCTCAAGCACTTGGATGTCTTTCTGGATTTATTAATGCACTGGGTTTAAAGTAATAACTATTTATGTATATAACTCCATGAATATATTCTTCTTTCTAAGCATTTTTGTCCACATCTATTAAAGCAGATGTATTTCATAATGCTTCTGAATGTGAGACACACTTTAAAAGCGTCTCAATGTTTTTTCTCTAAGCTTGAAGTAATATTTCAGTGTTATTCTCTCCTGTGAGTGTTCAGACAGTGTCCTATCAATTCAAATTTAGGGCAAGACTATCCTTAAAGACTTTCATTTCACTACATTAATAGATCCACCTAAACCAAACCAAAACCACCAGAGTTTTGGCAATTCCTTCCACAATCTAAATATCAGGAATTCACTGGCAAAGGTAGAGACAGTTGCTAATTCCTTGGCACAGAGTCGTGTTGATTAAGTCCTCTGTGCAAGAAACCAGAGAGATGGAATATCCCTACGGTAGGAGAGTCTGCTGACTACTCGTCAAAGTCCGCTACATTGAATGCAGATGGCAATTCACAAGAGAACAAAAAAAAGGAACATGGTGGTCATCTGGTAATCACCACCCAGACCTTCAGCTGGTGGTCTCACCAGTAGACTATAGGCAATTTAGGGTGGGGCTGACTTCAGCTGACATCTCTTGAAGTGGTGGTACCCTGTGGAATGCAAGATGGCAAAGAAAGCCTGAGACTGTATATTCATCATTAGGGCACTCCTCCAGGAGAGAGACCCAGATACTGATCATTTCTCCAGAGACATCAATGGAGAGTCATTTGGGCAGCATGGATCTTTCCTGCCTCTCCCTGTCTGCTCACAAGTTGAAGATTTAAGTGACTCCTGTAAGGATATACCAAATATCCAAGGTGATACAAGACATTAAAATCAGATCTCCCAAATCACTGGCTACTGACCTAACCACAGGAAACCCTTCACTGAGTCAGGGATAAAGTTTAAGATGCTAAACCAGCTCCTTTTAAAGCTCCAGCTCACTAGCCAGTAGGTGCTCAGGTCCTTCTGGAAACCAGCATCATTATGGCATATCAAAACTGGTATTCAGAATCATTAGTTATGAGAAAATTGCAATGGGGAGCCTATGAAAATGGGTACTACGATCTTTTAGCAATCTATACCAAATTGTGACTGCTGAGAACTAAAACATCTTTATCTGGACCGCTGTCTGCGTAAGCACTCGATCAACCTTTTGCACAGTCACATACCTGCAAACCACTGCATTTGCTTGCAGTGGTCCCCGCCATGACCACCTCTCTGTGGTCACATATCAAATACCCAGTTCAAGCAAAAAAAAAAAAAAAAAAAAGGTAAAAACTTTCCACGCATGAGAATAATCATACTTTTAAAACCATGATAAAACTGTTCATCTCTATAATGCAGCACAATGCAGTTATAAGTCTTTATACAACACGACATCCAACCACACAGGTTCTCTGTACAGAGTTCAACAATGTCAGGTTTTGACCCCCCGCCCCCAAAATAAATAAATCTCCCATCTTCCTCTCTTTTCTTGTTTGGGCTTGCCATAGAATCATAGAATCATTTAGGTTGGAAAAGACCCTTGGGATCATCGAGTCCAACCATCTACCCTACTCTAAAGTACTCCCCTACACCATATCCCCCAACACCACATCGAAACGACTCTTAAACAAACCCAAGGATGGTGACTCAACCACCTCCCTGGGCAGTCTATTCCAATGCCTGACTACTGACTACCATGCTTCAGATTTCTTTAAATCATCTCCTTGTCTCTCAAGCTTTCAAACCCTAATGAGCTTTACATTTATAACAACAATTCAACAGGCTTTAATCTGTGATTTCAAAGGCATTAACGATCAAGGTGAGTATTAATACTCTAATTTGTTGACAAATTCATACTATGGTCTACTCTCGCTTAATCTGAAGGGCAGGGACGGAGCAACAGGAGGGAGGGTACTGCCTCTTTATTCTATATGTTGGAGTACACTGCCAAAAAAAAAAAATCACACAATGATGGGATTAGACGTGAACGCAGTCTTTGAAATGCATGTTCAGTGTGCTCCAGACAAAAATATTATTAAGCGGTTAGACACCATTCTATGCTACCTGAATTATTCAATAGGTCTTTAAGTTTCACCTGCCAATCACTGCAAACTGGAGATTACAAAGTCGTCTACAAAAAGCTTTGTTCTAGTGAGATGAGACAGAAACATCCCAATTTCCATACTACCAGCCAAAGCGAAAGGAAAAAAATCACTGCAGCTACTTGTGACAACACAGTCCTGTACAATTAATGGAGACCCACAACACACCAAAGCTCTGCTTCCTATTACTCAAAGGCCCTTTCTACCAGACAGACAGTGTGGGGAGTATTTAAGCGACTGCCACTTCTGAAATGGGTGATAAAACAAAATACTAAAATCTGGATCTTGTCACATATAGTAAGACTGTTGTCACAGAAAACAAAATAAAACAGGAGAAACTTAGGGTTGACAAAAAAGCCGAGAAACAGATTTCTAATGATATACAATAAAAATAAATCACAGCCATATGGGGGGGGAGGGGCATTAACAAATTTACTATCCACTAGGCTTTCTAAAATTCTAGCAAGTAAACCTCCTGTGTGAAATCTAAGATGAATGGCTAACATTTCCCAAGTGCTCCATCGAGAGCCATCTTTCTCCCATTCATTCTTGCACAGGGACAGCTCAAGTTTAAAGTTCTCATTCAGACACAGTTGGGCTCTAACCCCTGCGGTATCTTTTCAGGCCCAGAGAAACCCTTCCAGCATCATTAATGAAAGAGCAAAGCATGTACAAAGTGCATGGAAAAGCAATATACACTATGAGCTATATACATTAGTGCAAATAATTTTCTTCTCCGAGTTAAGACAGCCAGTGCCACGCACCAGGTTTTGGGAGGAGATACGACTACAGCAGAGAATGGAGACACTACCTGTACTCAGCATAAAAAAGCAGGCCTTGATTTTGCAAAAGCAGTATCACAAGTAGTTTTACCGGTTCACAAATTTTAAATGTCTGCATTTGTCCAGGATCAGAGCCTTTAAGCACAGCTGACCATTAAAGAATGTTCACATTTTAATATTTGGCTTAGGCAAGGAAAGAAGAAAGGAGGCCAACTGTTGTAGTTTTGATGCATCATTTTTTAAAGTCAGATGGTGCTTGATTACAATACCTACCTAGAGGGAAAAACTCGCCCATTTTCTTCTTGAAAATCTTGTAGTCAATCTCCAAAAAAACACAGAAGATGATACGATCCACCTGTAAGAAACAAAATTATTCACAGTGAAATGATTGCAACCATAAACATTGGCAATAATAGTTAATAAAAGCAGAGAAACTTTTAAGCCAACACACTTTTATGCTTGAGGCAAGCAAGAAAACATCACAGGGATGCATGTTTTGACTTTATTGTGCATCTGTGTTGTAATTTACAAAATAACATTTGCAATTGCAGTTCACAACTGTATTCTTTGTTAACTGCCGCCTGTTTATGCAAACCACTCTTGAGCACAATATAAATGACTTTTGGCATTCTAGATGAGTACTGGGATACAATGTTTGATGAAAGAGTCACATGGGGGGCTTCTAATAAGCATACAAAAGAGTAAATGGGTAAGCAAAGAGCTCTTTTTCCAATCCTTGTCCGACAAACCTATTTGCAAAACCATTTAGTATTTTAAAATGTCTTTAAAAGGTTTCATGTGGTCTTAATTTACATGAAACCACTTACTCTTGCTATAATACAAGCAGAATGCAGCAAAAACAAAAGCTGATTAGATGACAGGTAGCACACGGGGTAAATAAAACATTTAATATGCCATCTACTTAGGGAGGCTGAGCATACCAATGAAACCACAGCTCATAATGTATGCGCCACCCACCAATCATTTCAAATAAATTGTTTGGGAGATCACTGTATGTTAAAGGCTTTTCTGAAAGAGACCCACAAAAAAGCCAAACAAAATAAACACCAAGCAGAATTTCAAAGCCTTTAAGATTGAAAAACACCCACGCTGGACTTCACTCTAGCTTCGTCATTTCTTTGTTTTATCTGTTTGCACAAATGGCCTCAGCAGCCAAAACCGAGCTCCAGGAAGGAGCTGTGAAGTCTGAAAAACCCTCCCACGGCCAAGCTGAGGGACCCACAACCCAATCATCAAGTTTTTCTCTGAAGCACAGGAGAGCTTAAGCAGAAAGGGATGAATCCCAAGCAATAAGAAATCCAGCATCTTGACTGGCATTACGCTGTCCTCGTGTCTGCATGGACAATAAGCTGATCTGTTGTAGCAGAGCTCCTCGAGAGCGCCTTTGCACATGCCAGAATAAGCTCCAGCTTCCCCCTCCCCCTCCCCCTGCAGGGGAACCGCAGGAGGAAAGCTCTCAAAAAACCACCTTCATTATGGTATCTTCACTAGAAAATGCTGTCCTTTTGCTAGAGCTGCTCTTTAAAGCAAAGTACAAGTCTTGGCTTCAAAGAAACCATTATGCTGAGCAGCTCAGGATGCCGTTTCAGAGCTCATTTTGGAGCAGGCTGGTAGAATTCTGGTAGAATACAGAAGGGAAGGAGAGCAGGCAATAACTGGTTATGCTGGAAAATGCTAATTGTTCCTAACAAGGACATCTCCGAATCACAGGTGACTACAGAACCTGAAAGAGGAAAGGAGGCAGGCGAGAGGGGACTGAAGGTGCAGGTTACGTGGGCATTCAGGAGGGAAGAGGCTCGAGAGCAGGAGAGGGCAGAGCTCGGGCAGACACCGCACATTCGTGAGCGAGAAAACTGCCTGTTGCTGTCTGCTCGTACCAATTTCACAGAAACAAGCTGTTCCGTGCAGCCCTCGTAAATAAACCAGGCTAGACCTTCAAAATATGCTGGACTGTGTCATCAGCTGCTTTTCACAAGGGATATAATAACCCAAATACTGGTTAAGCGCTTAAGCCAAAAAGCCATACTCATCTGTGTACTCACAAATTGATAACATAAGGACCGGTGGCAAGCCATGCCTTGTTTTGCCTATATGAGAGCTTCCAACCTAAGTTGTCTTTTCAGGAGGCAAGATTTAGACAGTGAATGCTTAAATTACATTTCTTGTGAAAATTGGCTTAGGATAGTGTTGGGATGACCCTAGATTGCCATTTCCTATCTCCACCTCCCGAACGGAGCAGATGTTGAAGCATTACAGTTATAGGCTCAATACATGAACCATGACAGACAAATAACCCAGAATGGAAACTTACAAACCAGAGGAGGAATGCTATTCCCACGCAGAGAAGTTCTGCGTTGTCTTGTTCTCTATATAGTCTCAAATTCTCTGCCATAAATACTACAGATATTTCTCTCATTTCATATAGTTCAACTTCTCAAGGTGCTCCCTTTACTTTTATTTATTCTGTGCAGTCCACAATGATAAAACTTCTGCAATCCTGAGAATTTCTACTACTTCTAATGCAATTCCTTAATTTAAAGATAGGGAATCTCTCTAGAAATGGCAGACTATTTCAAAATTTCTAGTTTCCTAACTGTATACATCCTATATATAAACCTGTTCAATTTCTTCTTGGTGTGAGAAAAAGCACTCTATTTTTAAGTATGCATAAGATATTGTGATGACAGCTGAAATCCTGTGTTTATCTGATTGAATGGCATGTGTTGGCAGATAGTAAATCTGAAATTAAACCATATTCTATCATCCTGCCAGTCATTGACTATTTTATCTAACATCCCCAGCTAAAATAACTCAAAATTAGGTATGGAAAGTAACCTTTGTCCTCACTGCTCCTGTTTCCAGCTACAATATGCAAAGATTTAATCCAAGTGACTCCAAACCTGCCTTGCCTGTTGGCTCACAAAAGCTCAGCAGGCCTTTTGGGATGCGCACTTATGAAAGATGCTCTCTTATTCAAAGAGGAAATCTCTCCTCTCATGTGGTTAGGAAACGCCAACTTGATTAGACGTTTCATGCCACCCCTTTACAGAGGGGAGGGAGTAGCCCCCGGGACTCCCCCGAGCGTGCCCAGGGAGCCCCCAGCACCTTTTGTAGGTGCCCGGCTCCTCCACAGCTGACCAAGCACCGCTCAACTGCAGCAGAAGTTTAAAGGAGCTGCAAGTTGAAGGTATTAAAGCTCATCCTTGATTGACAGCTCTTTTTTGGAGACCGGTATTAAAATCAGCCATCCCCTGTCAGAGCCTGATTAAATTCTGCTCGCTTCACAGCTATGAATAGGTGGATCAAAGAACCCCAAAATTAAGAGCGCTGCAACACAGGAAGAAGGGAGTTAAATTGCATGAGCTGTTCACTTAGTAGGCAGCTTCACAGCCCAAGGCTGCGGGTACATTGATTATTTTTTTTTTCCTGTAATATTTTTTTTCTTTTCTTGGGCCCTGCTCTCCTTGCCAGGCTCCATTTAATTTTGAGGGGGCTACTTGCCTGGTGGTTTTGTTAGCTGCACCGGATAAGGATCAGTAAACTTCTGGGGCTCTGCGTGGCTCAAAGGGCTGAGGCTGCTTTGCAGAGGAACGGACCCAGAGTCAGTCATTAAAGCCAGGATTTTACAAGGATACAGCCAAATCTCATGAAGTGAAAACCACTCCACTGGGTATAACAGCACTGTTGGTCTTAATAGCAGCGGCAGCATTGATCTTAATACGAAGAAGATAGCAAAAATATTTCCTCCTGCTTTTTGTTCAGTGGGGTTTTGGTTGTTTGGTTGGTTTGTTTTCCCCCAGTGAATCGGAGAGCACTTTGCATTTAGCGTGTTTTAACTTTACTGGCGGGTTAATGTGCTTTGGGTTAGTTCTAAACCACTAATGGTCTAGCAGGGCTCCCTGGGCAGCTGGGGCCGGAGGGTGCTCAGGGACCGCACCGTCACCGCCAGCACGGGAAAGATGAAAAGCTGCCGAGGGTCCCACAAAGCAGAGGGCAGAGCTGGGAGCTGCACCCCTCTGCGGCAGCCCAGCCCCACCGCCACGCAGCCACCCCAGCCACAGACAGCTCTACCCACAGAAGGCAAGCACAGCAAGAAGATGGACGCACACCACCTGGAGAAATGGCCACAAGCCTCACCACATCCAAAGCCACAATAGAAGAAGAGTCTGCTAGTGCTTTCTGGCAACTTTACGCTTTTTTTTATGGATTCTTTGAGAAGGGAAAAAGCCCTGCCTCCCCAGCAAACCAAAAGTGCACACCAAGCGTGTAAGGGTCCTAAAGGACCCTTCCCTCTGCTGCAGCATGGGGGAGGGCTCTCGTGTCTGCACACGTCTGCCCATCCAGCCACTGATGTAGCAGGAGTTCATACTCTACAGCTGGACCTATATACATTTTAGGATTGAAAACGTCTCTGGGTTTTATCTCAGCTCTTTTGCTGCAGCCTCCGGCAGGTTGTCTGATTCCTCTGACTTAATTTCCCTGTCTGCTTAGGGGACAGTAATACTTAGTCGTGCACTTACGCATCATTACAAAGAGGTCTTGCCAAGCACAATCCACAGGCCACGCCAAATGTTGTCATGCCTATAGCTGAATGTATAGCCAGGTGCCAAGCTGTACATATCAGGCACAGATCTGAAGCAGAAAACTGATCAAAAGACATTCTGGACTATTTTACCTAATGAGTGTTCCCATGTCATTGCCACCTTATGTCCTAACAAAAATAACAACTTGCAACAAAAATAAATCCAACTGCATTTCAGAACTCCCAAGTATTTCATGCGTATCCCTAGCACCAAGAGATTTACCCAGCAGGCAGTCACTGCTTTTTATTATATGCGACAAGTTTCATCAGAATTTACATCTTACCAGAAAATACACAATAGGAAAAACAATGCTAACTTGTAAAAAATATTTCCCAATCCCAAATCAAATTAATGGTAACAAACAACAACGAGAATGAAGCAGTTTTCTGCTCTGCATACGTGTAACAAATCCCTTTTATGAAACGCCCTTGCCTGATCCCACCAGGACCTATTGTCTTAAGGTGACGGTGAACACCAGAAGCTTGCTGTAACATTTTTAATTTATCAAACATTCTGTGGACTTAATCCAAAATTCAGTGAAGCCAAACGGAGGCTTTTTATTGACTTCAGCGTGCTTGGATCGGCGCCTATACTCCATAACGCCAGAAACAACATTTGCCTCCTTACGAATTAAAGTTCTTCTGATATTCAAATTTCATTACTCTAAATTTTCAGATACTTCCTCAAACACATCCTTAACGGTCACAGTTCAGAGCTGTCGGTCCCCATTAAGTCTCCTTGACTACAGGGC